CAATTATGGTAAACTATATGTCTATATAGTAAAACCGATTCTACCATATACACGGTATAGTCCTATATAATTATAGTTATTAGAAATTACTTCAAATAGGACTAAAACTATGACAAAAACTCAAAATAAGACTTGCTATGTTTTTTTTCCAAAATAGGACCATAGTGGTCCTATTGGAAACATACTCATTTCTTCCTTCCATTCTTACCCCTCCTTTAAATATTAGTAAAAGATAGCTAAAAGTCATAAATAAATGTTTAATTCATAATAAATTCGAAAAAATTTCAATAATTCGTAGAAAAATAATAAAAAAATTAATAAAATTTTTATAAAATAAAAAATAAGAAAAAAAAATTTTTTTTTAATTTTTTTTTTAAAAAAATTAATAAAAAATAGTAAAACTCCATAAAAAAAATTAAAAAAAATATGGATACGTTTCCCACCGCCTGTACTACCTCCCTGAACCACCACCTCCGATCGGTGTAAAAAATGCCACTTTTTTTTTTAAATTCCACAAAAATGGCATATTTCTCTATGAGAATGCCAACATTTTCATTCTGCCAACTTGAATCCTTTTGACTTTTGCCAAAAATATGACATTCATAATTTTTTTGGCATTTTTTTACCCAGGTGACAGGAGGTGGTGGTACCGCCTCCCTACACCACCACCTCCGACCGTTAAAAAAAAATGTCATATTTCCTACAAACTTCCATTTTTTTCAGAAAATGCCAAAAATATGGCATATTTCTCTTTGAGAATGCCAACATTTTTTTTCTTCCATCTTAAATCATTCTGAATTATGCCAAAAATATGGAATTCATAATAAATTTGGCATTTTTTCCCCAAATGACTAGAGGTGGTGGTGCTGGGGCGGTATAGGCGGCGGTGACAAAAAAAATATTTTTTTGATTTTTTTTTATTTTTTTTATTTTTTTATTTTTATTTTTTTTTTTAATTTTTTTTTAAAATTTATTATTATTCAGAATATTTTTATTAATTTTTTGGTATATTTTACGAATTTTTATTATTTTTTATTATTTTATTATGAATTAAAACATTCCAATAGGTATAGGGGTATATTTGTCCAAGACAAACATAATTAGTCCTATGGAAACATAGTTTATTTTTTCGTCCTATTTGTGCAAAGTGAATGATTTTTAGTCCTATTTTGATAATTAACTCTATAGTTATTTATAACTTTTAGCCTAATAGTTATATACTATCGTATCTATGATCTCTGGTTTCTCTCTTGATCGATTATTCCGCACTTTTCCTTTCAACTTCTTTTCTATTTTTCAATAATTATTAACTACGTAGTACTATCCAAAATTGTTTCATTTGAGTTCTGAGAACAAGGCATGATAGTGTTGGCATGATAGTGTTGGGTGTGTTTCGGAAAATAAAGAAAATTAATTAAAAGAAATTAATTAAATAAAATGACTAGAGAAAAACAAGAAAGGAGATGAAGCAGAATTAGTCAAAGCTCGTGCTACGCACGATGTCCTTAAAACGTATTTGTTGCCTCCCACGGTGCTAGGAGCGTTGCAACAATAGTTTTCCAGGATACGACGACTACGAACTAATGTTTGAGCACACAAACAAGAGTTCCAGCGAACGTGAACAAAGACTGAACACTCGGGAATTTTCAGAATGACTGGAGGTGTTTTTAGTTGAAGAAATACGTGAGCTCGTGTATGCAAGAACGTGTAAAATCGTCTTTTGTTGCAAACCACATGCCAGCCTTTATATAGGACGATTTGTTGTGTGCAAATGGTGAATTAATGGACCTGAACGGTGGACATCAATGACCAGTCCGTTGGGCATTGAATCGTCCATGAACTGTTCATTTAACGATACATTAAAAGATAAGAACGTTGGGCATTTATTGCTGTAACGGTTCAGAAGTGCCACCAGAAGACCTCCCAACAGAACACCCCTGGGAGGGTTTCTGTCCGAACCCGGCAGAACACCCCTAGGAGGGTTTCTGTCGAGGCCTTCTGCCCAAAGCCACCAGAACACCATACCGAGGTGTTCTGGTCGAGGCCTTCTGTTCGGAGCGTTTCTGCCGCTAGGCAATTTTGTCAACTGGGAAAAAATATACGTTTCGGGAAGAAAACAAAAATTATCCGTATCTCTTGAGAGATGGATTTTTGGACGACATCTGTGTTAGCAGGTCGCACGCGCACGCAAGTCGCGGTTTTTCTTCTCCGAATTCGGGATTTGATTTGCACCCCACCTGCGCGCGTGGAGAGAGCCTTTACCCTTAGGAATCTTAACTCCTTAGGGGGGGGGGGGGGGGCTTTATAAAGGGTAGCAAATCCCTTGGGCTTTCCGGTGTGGGAAATTAACACACTACAAACCCATCCTTTTTCCCTTCTAACGGGTAAACTTCGAAAAACAATTTCTCATTCACCCGTTATCCGTTTTGAACGTACCATATATCGAATTGTAGCCCTAAGCAAGGACAATCCGAAACCACTTTGACCCGACCCAAATCGGAAGTGGACCCCACTCAAACAATTGCTCCAAAATAACCATTTAATGCAATTTTTCACACATTTTTCCAACAGATAGTTTGACTAAACACATTTTCATCTCTTAATTTCGCTAATAATACACTATTCATTTATGGTAAATCATCTCCTAAAAATGAATGCTCCACCAAATGTTTATTTCTTGAGTATATGTCTATTATTTGTTACACTTGAATAAAGTATTGCCTATCAGCCTATGTATAATTTATTTTGCATAGTAAATCTTTGGTCTGAATAGATTTAAGTAGTTTTTTGTCACTTGTACATATGTAATAAATGTCTTTTTTTTTTTTATGTTTTATGTTTAAACAATTAGCTACTAGAGTTTACGTTTGCAGTCCTATATAATGTGTTAAAACGTTACTGGAATTTATGTGATACTTTAAGCGACTAATGTTCTTTTTTTATCATTACACCAAAATGAGAATTTATTAGTCTTACGATATGCATTGTGTTAAGATAGACTGAGTTTTATTGTTCACAAAGATTTATTATACAAACTTGTACAATGGTTACGGTATTCATTTATAAAAGATTTGATCTATTATAAATTAGTTATCATAACTAATCTTATTATTTGAAAAGAGTTTATTACGTGTAAATTATTAAAATGAGTTTTATGCTATATTAAAATGAGTATACTTTTTAAAACGAATTGAATGTGCATGGGTGAAATACTATAAAGTGAGCATAATTAATTTATAAGCCAAGAATGACAAATTATAAAAAAAATGTAGTGAAATTGTTATATATGTCATTGATAAATCTAGTGATAATCTAGTAAAAGAATCTAATAATATTCTATGTTGTTTGTAATGATTATATTACATTGTCGGTTATATAAATCAGTTTTATACTCGTATATGTTATACTCCAATTAGTTTTACGTTTTAAAGAAATGGATACCAATATAATATTATAAAATGAGCTCACATGCAACAATGTATATACTTCAATGAGATTTGTATATTTGCACATGAGTGAGATTTTGATTTTAATTTTGAGATAAAATTGGAGCTTAATCACATAGTCTCAAGGTTAAATGGTAGAGAAAATGATACTCAATGAAGATGTTTTGATGTTTAATGTAAAGTTCCAATGTTCAATGAAAATGTTTGATCACATAGTCCCAATGTTTAATTATAGAGAATATGATACTCAATGAAGATCTTTTGATGCTCAATAAGTTTTGATTTTTTTGTACTCAATTGAAGAGTTATAATGTTCAATAGAGAAGACTTTATGCTAAATGAAAATGTCTTTATGTTAAATTAAATTTGCATATCGGAATTCATATGAGTTGCTTGTAGATATAACTTTAAAAACGTTATATAATAAAAAGAAAAACAAACATAAAGTAAATTAGATAATATGAAACTGAAATCATGATGCCCAATAGTAGATTCTTCATAACTAACAGAATATGTCTGATGCTCGATAAACGTGCATCGATGCTCAATTAACAGAAGTCGTGATTTTTTACTAAACTTTGAAAAATGTCTTAGATTGTACAGTGTACACCGTATCACCGGGTACATGCACAATATACGAAACTCAACAATTATTCGCCCCACGAAGTTCTATTGTATAATAGTTCAAAATAAATAAAATTAGGATTACATTGTATCAAATTAAAATAAGTGCAATTTTGTTCACGCTCTACACGACACCCTCTACACGATGATGGTCACCCCATCTTTCCTTGCTAGAATTGTCATGTGGGATTGCAAGTTTTTTAAATTGTTATAATTATTTTATTTATGATCCATTTTTTATAAAAATATATATCAAGTTTAGAATTTATATTTTTTAGAATCTTTCCAATGGTACCGGTATTGCATAAAAAGTTTTAAAAAATTAAAATATACTATCCTCCGTCTCTTTTTAATCTCAACATGTTGAATTTTACACTATTCACATGTTCTACTTTGACTATATTTTATATTATTATATTATGAAAATTATTTTTTTTTAAATTATATTGTTCAATTCATCTCATTACAAATTTTCAAAATCTAATTTTTAAATATTTTTTACTAATAAAGATTAAGATATAATTACGGTCAAAGATGTGCGTTAGCAAGTGCGAAATGTTGATCGTTGTAACTAAAAAAGAACGAAGGAAGTATATGTTTAGCTGTTTTTTTTTTAATTTTAAATACTCGGTATGCAATATGGGTACAATATAAAAGATAATAACATTTTAAAATTTTAACACATTTTTTTTTAAACAGAGGATTATAAATGAAAAAATCATAACAATCACATAAAAAACAAATTGTCATGCCATATGGCCGGCATGTTTAGAGGAAGGGGTGAACATCACCCCATTAAATTGAGAGCGTGAATAAAATTGCTTTAGACTAAGATTGTTGAAGTGAAATATTTAAACCTTTTTTACTACGTATGATTTTGTATACTTTACAAATAAAATATGCTTAATTTTTTTCATAATTCAATTTTGTTTATAAGTCAATCCAGCAGATTTTAATAATTATTTCTATTTTGTTGTTTTCGTGCTATTTTTTCCACTATTAATAGCTTTACATTTTATCCACGAGTATTTTGTGGAAAGTCACCTAGGAGGGTTGATTAAGATATACAGTGATAATGAACTCCAGATATCATTTTTTTTCTTTTTCCTTTAATTTCCCCCTACTGAAATTACGAAATTAGGCCTGAGCGTTGACCTTCTTCCCCAGCAAGTCTCCTCCCGAACTCCCACCTCTGTCTCCCAACAGCTTCCCACTTTCTTCATCCGCCGCCGCCGCCTTTTTCTCAGCTTCTTTAGCTTTCAAAGCCTGCAATTTGGAGTGGTTATAGAAACCCACTCCCAAGAACGCCAACCCATACCCGATTAAGTTCACCGGAGTGACGGTGTCTCTGATCACGGACCAGGAAAAAGCAATCAGGAGCCAGTCCTTGACCACTCCGGCGACATTCATGGTCAGCGCCGACGTCTTCCCGACGAGCAAGAAGACGGCGAGGTTCAGGGAAAACGCGCAGAGGGAATTCGTCCCGAATATGGCGAAGTCGAATCCGAACCCTGATTTCTCCCGCAAAACGGGGAATTCGACGATCAGCCATGGAATCGAGAGGAAGACGAAGCAGCAAGGGGCGACGTAGTACAGGGATGTGATCGGATTCAGCGAGATTCCCTTCGAATTGAGCAGGATCTGAATCATCACCAATCGGGTCGCTTCGAACCCGACGGCGAGCAATTGCAGAAACACCCCCCAGGAATCGTACTTCGCCTCGCCGTACGCGGCGATTGCGACGCCGGCGGAGATCCCGACCATGTTCGCCATGGTGGCGGGCTTGTACGGGTCCTTATTGAAGAGAACTCCGACGGCGTAGACGGCGACCGGCATGAGGGCCTTGAGCATCTGGATGAAGGAGACGGAGAGGTAGATGTAGGCGGAGTTGGAGAGCCAGAGGGAGAGGGCGTAGAGGACGCCGATGGGGACGACGCGCGTGAGGTACACGCGCCGGGTGACGGCGGTCGGCGGGTCGACGAGTTTTGCGGCGCGGACGAGGAAGAAGGCGAGGGCGGAGCAGAAGGACATGTGGATCATGGTGAGGGAGATGGGGAAGGGCCAGTTGTAGAGGTTGCGGTCGAGGATGTATTTGTTGTAGACGATGACGGTGAAGGAGAGGAGGATCCAGACTGTGACGTAGGTGTAGGAAAGGATGATCTTCTTCTTCACGCCGTCGGACAGTGCTCCGCCCTTGCCCATTTTTCCGCCGCCGGCAACGGTAACAGGGGAGTGTCTTGATGTGCAATGAAGACTGAACTGCGTGTGATTCTTTGGCTCTTTTTCTTTTATTAAGGATGTTTTTTACTTAGAATGTAATTTACTGGCCTGATCTGGTTTGGTCTGATTTCTTTGTATTTTTTATAACTACCCAAGTCTGGTCTGATCTGGTCTGGTCTGATCTGGTCTGGGACAAATTACAATCCAAGTAAAAACATCCTAAGTTTTTTTTTTATTAATACAAATGTAGTTTGTACGAATCTCCAATAGAGAATCGTTTGAGGTTTTGACAAAAAAAAAGTGTGTTTAACTTCAAGTATTGACTTAGAATAGAACTCACCCTCATTCCAAATGAGTGAGATTACGACTCAATTTACATCCTTCTATAGGGGTGGGCACGGTCCGGGACGGAACGGGAATTGGGTTGTCCCGGTCCCGAACCCGTTTTACAATAACGGTTCGGAACGGGACGGGACAAGACGTTGTCCCTTTGTTGTCCCGTTTAAACCGGTACCGGGACAAAACGGGACGGTTCGGGACATCCCAAAAAATTGTAGTCAAACAATTTCAATCCAAAAACAAAACAAAGCTATTTGAAAAAAAAAACTAGCGCAAGAAAACTCTATGACAAAAAAGCTATAGCTAATATAGAAAATTGTGAGAAAAAAATGCAACTTACCAGATTAGCTACATGAAACAAAAGTTGCAGCAGAAAAAACTATATCACAAAAATCTATCAAGAAATCTATAATAAAATGATAAAAGAATACTTTGAGAGTAAAATCAATTCTTTTTTTGTAGATAGATGATAGTTCATAGTATGTGATAGTAGGTAGTTTAGAGTTTTTTTAGGTGTTATATTATTAATCAACTAGTATTTAAAAATCATTTGTATTTGGGTTGTGCAAAAAAAATAACTATTATTACTTGGATTACATAATGAGTTGTTAATAAACTCACTAACCTACTACAAAGTACTACGTACAATTTTGGATTCGGGACAACGGGACGGAATGGGATATATTTTACTTGTCCCGGTCCCGTTTTGTTTTAAAACGGTTCGGGACCGGTACGGGACAAAAGTAATGTATCCCAAATATAACGGGACAATTTCGGGACGGAACCGGGACATTCCGGAACGGACCAACGGGACCGGGTCTTTTGCCCACCCCTATCCTTCTAGATAACTGCTTAGTCAGTTCTGGAAGCTTTCAGGATGAAGTGTCATCCTTTAGGGTTTTGACAAAATGATACTAGGAAGTATTAAAAGAAAGAGTAAAGAGGCGAAATAAGCCCCCTAATTTTGTAATCAAGCATCTGAACCAGAAAGAGTTCCAATTATCCCATCAACGCATTGAAATTTGAGCAATCATAGGGTTGGGTTCGGTCCAGAATGATCTGATAAATTAGTCAAACTCGTAATGTGCCTGTGAGATTTCTAACGGTTACCGTCTGGTTCTACGATTGAAACTAGGGGTAGACCCGGTTCGTGAGTCCGGTCAGGAACCGGGTCCGACACTGTTTGGGATTGCCCATAGTTCGCCCAAGCATGTTACCAGGGGAATCGAACAGGACAGTCCCAAGATCATCAAATTTATTACTTCGTATTATTCTTTTGGTTTGGAAACATGGAAAACTAAAAAATTAGAACGAGACTGGGGCCTGACCACCCGAGTACCCAAAATTGGCCCAATCCTAGATTTAATCGGGTCGGACAAGGGCTTCTCCTACCAACAACCGGGATCGACCGGTATGGGACCGGAACCAGACCAAAACCGAGTCCACACCTAGTTGGAGCCATTCGATACCATGCCATTTCAAAATGGTACGAAACAATATGGTATGCTAAACCAATGCTAAGCCAATGCTCAAAATTTTGGGAAAACATTAGTTAGGAGGGCAAATTCACATGAAATTTTCCTTAAGTTAAAAAAAGAAATAACATACGGAGTACTAATTACTGGAAAATATTCAAGAGGCTTATATTTCTATTTTCCTAAAGTTAGATCAACATCATTTTTTTTGCAAGAAATATAAATTTTATTTAAAAAGGAAAAAGTGAAGTACACAAGAAGAAACAAAAGGAAAACAAAAACAAAAAACTAACAAAATGGAAATTAAAGAAAGCAATAACCCGACCCAAAATACATGCAAAGAAAATCACCCAAGATACCCAAATAGGTCAATCTAGACGGTTGAGCTCCACTCGTGATTGGGATCTAGTCCTCATGGTATGCGATCGCTGGTACCATCATTTTCACTAAAAAAATCAACACCATTTTCATTAAATTCGCGTGAAAACATAAAAAAATATCATCACATTGTTAAGTATAATGGAAAGCTCATCATTTCATTTTTATTTTAGGTTCAATATTAGTTCTAATTCATATTTGCAAATTTGTAAAGAGAGCTAGATTTCAACGATATTAATTAAGTTGTAAAACTAAACAAATACTACGTATGACACAACAAATAGTCATTTACATTACAATAATGGAGGATTTTTAACACTTTATAATTCTTTCAATCTATAGTGAGCGGATATAACATAAATTTATTTTTTTGAAAGGAACATAAACTGAATTTATATAAACACACAAACTTACCTATTGTTTAGATGAATAAATGCATACATGGGCTATAAAATTATTGGTATGAACAAGAGATTCATTGAAATGAGAAAAATATAAAAAAATCCCAAACGGTACAGTTTCAGTTCAAACGGTATTTTACAGCCCTCAAAACCTAGAATTGATCTCATACCCATTTCAAACGGTACAATTTTAGTTCGCAATAAAAAATATAGAACTATTTAAATATCTAATATTCGGATCGGTACCATTACGGGTTGGTTCTATATGAGTTTAGTTCGGTTTTTATGCCCACCCCTAAGCAATCAAATCATTTTTACGTACTGGTGCCGATAATTTCTCACGAGAAAGTTATCTCCTTACATGCATCAACAGGTAAAAATAAAAGGATCGTATTGCTTAATATTCAATGAGTTGAGGGGATTATTTGCAAGTCTCCCAATTCAAGTGTGTGATTGTAGACTCACAAATAATTCGAGGTTTTATTTGTCCTTTTTCCCTAAAAGAAAAAATGTCACGTTAACGGGAAAATTCTCGAAATATGATTAAACATGTTTTAAAATTATAAATAAGGACAATCCTATTTTTTTTTTGTCTAAATGAGAGTAGTTACTTTCTGGTTTTCCAATTTAGAGTACACTGTATTTAAAGTTTGGTAATCAGTAATTACTTTTATATGTGAAATAAACTTATGACAATTCTATTTTAGAATTCAGATACGTTTTTATTCATATTTAGGGCAACTCCTTGATGATAATCTATGTAGACCATATTGCAATTCAATAATTAAAATATTAAGAAATGATGAAGTAATAAGTTGAATGAATGAAATGCATGGTAGATACAGTACGCTGACATTTTTGTGTGGTATAGTGTCATTCACCAAATTGTTTTTCCTTTTTACTAGCATAAGGATCATATATGATATATTATTAATCAAATCATGTTCAAAACATTTTCCATACAACTAGGGGAGGAACAATAAATCAACTATGACATCAGGCGCTCGATCATTATCATGCGTAACACGTTCCGCTGATCGCCGAACAAAATTAATTGAAATGCTCCCAAAATATTAAACCATTGTTGTCATCGCTCATATAATTGCCGCTACCCACTACCCCCACCAGGGGCGTAGCTAGGATTGAAGGTTGGGCTGGGCCGGTACAAAGAATTTTTCAGATAATTTTTTTCACATAAATTTTTAGACTAAAAATACAAAGGATTTTCAAATTTGGGGCGGGCCGTGGCCCGGTTGGCCACCCCTCTAGCTCCGTCCCTGACCCCCACATAGGTTGTTGTCGCCGCCATATAAACCCAGGTCACCACTATTGCCGCCATTTGGAGAACTCTAAACTCAATGTGTAGTACAACTCCAAAAGAGCTGGTTACACACCAGGTGTGAGAATTATGAGGAAGTGTACCTTAATGGTAGCCCCGGAAGTATTATTTATAATAAGAGAGTCAAAGATACATTGAGATTCCTACTATAATTAGACAACCTAATTAATATTAATAAATACATTATTACACCCCCTCAAGCTGTGCAGGGGGAACAATGCGCAGATTGTCACGTAAAAAGGTAAAACGCTATGGAGATAGACACTTTGTGAAGATGTCGGCCAACTGGAGCTGAGTAGGAGCAAACTTGACTTGTAAATCACCATGATCCACTCTTTCCCGAACAAAATGGTAATCAATATTAATATGTTTCTCACAGAACATGCTTCTTGAAAGAAGAATATGAAATCAGATCGAATTTGCTAATGCAAAAAAAAAAAATTAAAACCCTAGGGCTCTGATACCATGTGAGAATTATGAGGAAGCGTACCTTAATGGTAGCCCCAGAAGTATTATTTATAATAAGAGAATCAAAGATACATTGAGATTCCTACTATAATTAGACAACCTAATTAATATTAATAAATACATTATTACCAGGTTCTTGCTCAAATTGATATACAAAATTAGAGAATAAAATGACATTGTGCTGATCAAGAAAAGTGAAATTAAAAATCATTTTAGGACGGATCAAGTAATAAAATAAAAACATCACATATACTTCATTAGATTTCCACTTTGGTGAAATACATTGTATCTCTCTCACACAATGCAAAATACATTTGGTCCGAACATGTTTAATGAGAAAATGATGAACTGGTTGTTTTATGATTTTCACATAAAAATGTAAGAACAAAGATTATGAGTCCAAAATAGTGAAAGGTTAAATGATGCTCTCTTTGCATCATAAAATTTGATCAAATTGTCCTTTCTTGATGAATCACGATAAACTTTGAACATTGACTTTAGTTATTATATTTGTATCAAATTTATGATGTTTAAAATTTTATGAAAGTAGTTTTTACATAGAATATTTCCATAAAATTTTCATTGACCAAGAAAAGTCAATATGGTTAAATTTTGTGCAACAAAGGAAGTAGATAAAAGAGAAAATTTCCGGAACAGGAGAAAAATTTATGTAAAATTCCAAAATATGAGTAATATGTTTTTCTTAGTAGGAGTAAACTATTGTCATCCTGAAAATTTAACGTCACATTTTGGCAGTACTGTGTTTATGACATTATATTGCCATAATTGATAGTATTTCCAAAAATGACAGTGATTACTCATATTTAGGGAGTAAAAACACAATGTTCATGTTTTGAAATTCCATAATTTTTTACTC